GAGCAATTTCTAGAGTTTATTATATTAACCGTACGTATAATTCAACTGTTTTCTTACTTGTAATTTTCTTTTTTTGACAACATTTGGTATTTCAAACAGGCTTGCAGTCTGACAACAAGTATTAAAAAAACCATAGCCGCGGCGGGATCAGGCAGCTCGTTTCGAACCCTGCTGTATAACGTATTATGAGATTCCCATGTATTTTGTACAACGAAAGGTCTTCTGAAACATTTGGAATCGTTGCATTTCGAGGAATCGTCGCCATCGAGAATTCTCAGGAATTATTGTGGTACCGAATTGTGCAGGTATGTTAAGGTTTCCTACGGATTCTCAAAGTTTTGCCAAGGATTCTCTCCATATGATGCATTATGAGGTATCCATGGCTTTTACATAACCCAGGTGAATCATTCCGATAATCGGATCCGATCGAATTGTATAGAGATTTTATAAAATCAACGAAATCCTATCGGAATTCGAATCTCTGGTATTGGATATTACCGGATTCTCCCGTAGGAATTTGACGTAATCTCACGCGAGCTTTTGACTGACCTCTACTAATATAATCAGGTACTAATTAGTACCCAATTAATAAAACAGATTTCACCCGTGGGAACCGTTAGTAGTTCCGAGTCCTGACACCCATAGGACTTTGTTGGTTGATTGCATCTGATAAGATCCGGTCGGATCCAGTATCGGATTCATTCATGTGGGAAGGAAAAGCCTTCAGAACTCCTTCTAAACCTTACATTTTTACTCGACTGGATTATAAGTGATGGTCAGACATTGTTTGGCAATCGCCTGTTATAGAAATCGTACGGATATTAAGGCAATCCAAACGAATCCCAAGAATTTCTTGGTTATCATGTCTTACGAGGTTTTCTTAGATTATGCATAAGGAAAACGTCTTCTTGTATCCTTGGAATCCTTCGATTGCGACATATCTCGACTATCAATTGATACTCACACATGTCTGTCCAATGAGCATATTGCAGAAATCTCAAGAATTCCCAAACGCTTCCTCATGTGTAATATTTTGTCGGGATCCGACAGATTTTACACTAAAAAACGTATTGTGTCATGTTCCGAATCCTTGGATTTCTATGCTATTCAACTACCAGCGATGCTCAAGCATGATTTGGCAATCGTTTTTTTTGAAACGAATCCAAGAATTCTCTGACTGTAATGTATTGTCAGGTTTCCATGGATGTTCCATAATGAAAACATCTTGTTACAACCTTGGAAACCTATATTTTCGACACATCTGGTTCAGTGTCGATGCTCAGTGCTCAGGTATGATTATGGAACAGTATTGTCGAATTGTCTCAAGGATTCACAAGCATTCACAACAATTTATTTGTGTACTACTTATTAAGAAGTTCTATTGATTTTCGGAAAAGAAAATGAAAGGTGTTCTGGAAGGCCACAAATCCTTGGTTTTCTGAACACGTGAACCATCACACAATGCTGAGACGTCATTGTGAAACACTATTGTACAAATATCTAACGGATTCAAAAGATGTAGAAACCTTTTCCAAGGATTACTTGGAGATATCATTCATTGTGCAATTTCCATGAAGTGACCATAAGCAACTGTCTTCTGAAAACCCGTGAATCCTTAGATTTCTAGACATCAGGACTATCGTCAATGCTCCGATAGGATTGTGGAACAGTATTTTGCAATTATCTAAAGGATCGGCAATTATTCTTGGAAATTCTTTGAGTCGCACGTATTACGAGGTTCCCATGGTCTTTGCAGAAGAGGAAAGGTCTTCTGAAAACCCTGGAATCCTTGGCTTTCTAAAGATCTGAACCATCAGCGACACTTAGGTAGACTTATGGAGCATCATTGTGCAATTATCTGAAGGATTCACAAGGATTCCTGTGAAGTCCTTGCGCATCATTAATTATCCTGGCTCCGGGATAACGTACAAGAGAAAGACTTCTGGAAACCCAGGAATTTCATGGTTTCTAGATATCTAAACCAACGCGAATGCTCCGATGTAATGGCGAAACACAATTATGAAAATGTCTCAAGGATTGAAACGGATTCTCACGAATATTTTTTATTTATCAATAATTATCAAGTTTCATGGATTTTGAACAAGGCAAATGCTTCTGGAAACCCTACATTTCTTATGTTTCTAGACCTTTGACTCATCAACGATGGTCAGACACGACTGCAAAGGAGTATTGTACAAATATCTTAAGGATTCAGAAGGATTTTCAACGCTCCTGAAGAATTCAGTGCATATCAGTTACGATGAGATTCCTGTGCATCTAGTCTTATGCAAAGTCTTCTGGAATCCTTTGATTTTGATGGTTTTGAAGCGCAGGCGATTTCTAGATATCATCAGACAACTGTGCTGTACAAGAATCTGTATTATTACAAAAATTTTCAGGCACTTTTCATGAAGAAAATGCGAGAAAAAAAAAGTTTTTTTACTTTAATATAAAGGGAATTGGATATTTTTTCAAGGATTCGGAATCTTTGAAAAAAATTCGGCGTAACGGCCTCCTGGGTTCAGTCATATATTATTGTTAGTTATTACTCACATTTTATTTTCTATTTTCTCAAAAACAAAACAAACTTTCAATTAAAAAAACAGTGTACAAAGTTTTTTTTTTTCAAGTTACTTTAGTCCGTTATTTATTGGATTCGATATTGAATTTTTGCACTCGATGATTTCCGTTATCGACGACATAGAGATTGCCATGTCGATCGAATGATAAACCGGTGGGCCCATTGAGTTGGTTCGATTGTCCTCCTCTACCGTTTCCACCAACAATAACACTTCCCTGGTTGGCTACATTGGGCCAACGCATGATTCGATGATTCCCTGCATCAGCCACATAGACAGTGCCCAATTGATCGACAATGACTCCCTGAGGATATGACAATTGTCTAAGACCATTTCCTTGTCCTTGACCACCAGCCACGGCAATGCCTTGTTTTGCACCTTCCACCCATTTCATCACACGATGATTGTCCCATTCAGACACGTAGACTGAATGATCTCGATCGACGAATACGTAGTGTGGATTATAGAGTTGATCGAGACGATTTCCACTTCCATTGCCACCTGCAACCACTGTTCCTTGAGATTCTCCTCTTCGATATCGTCTCACTTCATTTTTTTCACAGTCAACGACATAGAGAGATCCATTCTCGTCTATTGTCAAACCCACACAAACGATGTTGGAGATGATTGTTTCTCCACTTGTCCCATTTCGACGAGGCCATCGAACCACTCTTCTATTCGAAGTATCGGAGATGATTAGACAATCTCTCTCTTTGTCGACAATCACATTATATGGGTTATTCAATTGATGAGCCCCACTTCCTTGTCCATTTCCACCGGCAACCACTTGGCCACTCGTCGCACCCCATTTCCATTCCACAATACGGTGATTGTATTGATCAGCGACATATATTGTTTGATCTTCATCAACATACAAACCCAATGGGTTTGAGAGTTGATTGATTCCATTTCCATATCCATTTCCTCCAGCAACAGTGATACCATTCTGTTGCCATTGAGCATTTGGATGAATGTTAATTGAACTTCCATGCAATGGAATCACTGAAATTGAGAGAAACAAGAGAATAAAATGATAAAATAAAAGAGAAGACAATGTGAGAGAGCCAGAGAGCACATAGAGAGAAAAAAGTGAAAATTTCATTTGAAGTTTTGCAAAAATCAATATCGTTTGAAGTTTCGATTTGGTTTCTCGATATTGTTTTTTTTTCTTTTTTATCTCTTCTTTATAACAGAAGTGGATACATAATTTATACGCATTGTGATTGTTTTATCTTCTTTATATGTTTTGTTTTCTTCTCATACTTTTGGTAATACATACATATATATATCTTTACCGATATATACTTATGTACACAGTTACATCCTTTTACAATTTCTACAAAAAATAAAGCATAGAAAAAGCTTACAGTTTATGAAATATACATACATGTATATCATCAATGTCAAGAAGACATCTACTTAATACTAATTAATATATAAATATCTTTCGAATACATAACTTTATAGTCTCAAAAACAATTCTCTTTTCTACTACATATATATATATGTAACAATTCTACTTAACAAACTACTACTACAAGTAACGTTCGTCGGTTCGACTCGCTTGATCCTCGACTGTATCAGACAGAAGTATACAAGTCTCATCCATGGACACCCAGCTATGAAACAGCTGATTAAGGGAGAACTTATCACATATGTCGGATTGACTGAATTTTCAATCTGAAAAATCAAATTGGTTGAAAGTTCAACATGAAAAGTACGAGAATCGAACACTTAGCCAACGTTTTTTATGCCGTTTCACTTTTTACTCTCACAAAAACAGACGAAAATTTATTTTATTTCATATAACCCTTCCTACACTTGAGAAAAAATTTTTTTCTCAAAAAAGCCTTTTCTCCTAAACCAAAAGAATTCAATTCAAAATTTCGAGAAGTTGACCTCAGATTCAGATTCTCCCACCCCGATTTACTTTCGTCAACCTTTATAAAGTATCGTTATTTTCTCAAAAAACCCTTTCCTCAACCCAAAAAAATCAATTCAAAATTTTGAAAAACTGACTCCAGATTCGGATTCCCCGACTCCAATTTACTTTCGTGAACCTTTAAAAAATATCGCTGATTGGATGTTTTTTTGACCCCGATGTTCCTTTGACCCTGCCACAAACCCACACACACGCAATCCATTTTTTTTCATATGACCCTCCCTACAGTCGAGGGAATATTAATACAAAATTCTTTTTCCTCAATGATACTTGCTAGATGAAATATTCTCAATTTCTGTTTACATTCATACTGTGAAATACAGACAAACATAGATCCTTTAAAAAAACAGGAACGAATGTAACTTGATGTACATATTTATGGTAACTTGTAATATTACATAAGAATTCATGATTGTTATACAGAATAATTTTTTATCTACAGGCAATCATATTTTTATCATCATCTTCGTGTCTTCCAATTATTCAGATATCTGCTTATACACACAAACTCCATTCATTTAAAACAGATACAATCTATTACAGTATAAACAAATTTATTAGAATCTTTTTACGTAACTGTTTCCACACTACTCTAACTTCTGAATTTCTAAATGGATTTTTTAAATTTCATTTACTGATTGATCGATTCTAAGTGAAATCATATTATGTTAGTTCTAGTTTATCATTAGGACAAGTGCCTTTAAAACTCTATATAGATATGCATTTGACTCATAAATAAAAATTGTGTATTTCTCTCAGTTTATATCTGAAATTTGATGAAATCGAGTGTAAGATGAAAAATATCTTTTTTTTTTTATCAATCTTGTTTTGAATATTCCATTCTATTATTAGTGCGCCAATTTTATCTATGAAAAATTGATGTACGATATTAGTAAGAACATTTCTTAAAAGATTATGAAATTAAACAATTAAAAAGCGTTATTAAGATGATAGTCTACGTTGTGCATCAGCACAATTCACAGTGAGGAAAAAATGTGTTTTCTTTTAAGTTCATTTTTTCACATTTCATTTGTTTTTAATAGATTCGCCTTTTAATTCTTTACAAAAGTTGTTAAGTAAACCATTTTAATGTCATTTTTCCGTTACATGTTTTGGCTTTCTAAGTTTTACATATTTTGATAAAGTAATAAAACTTGTAATTATATATTCTGAATTTCTTCTCATTATATAATGACTATTCGTAGGAAAACAATGATTTTTTCTACTTATTAAACATGTTTTCATCTATCCTATAGTATTTATATAAATGTAGAGAACTAAACAGGATATATACTTCGTCACAAATATCGAAAAAATTTTTTACTTAAGGTCATTTTTTAGCACGTATCAGGATTTTAAATCAAACTTAGGGTGGGGTGTGGGTGTGGGTGTGGGGTGTGGGTGGGTGTGGGGTGTGGGTGGGTGTGGGTGTGGGTGTGGG